AGGGCACAACTTGCCAGTAAGTTTCCTTGATACAAGTCTAGAAAACCACAAAGTTGATGCAACATGCAGCTAATTTCTTCCCCCTCTACCTTCCACAGACTCCTACACAAACACTTTCCTGTCTTGTAGATAAAGATACTTCCTTACACTGTTCATCGTATCTTCTGGATCACTCTAAACTTTTAAACATTTTATTATCTGTTGAGCAAAAATAAACAAGATGAGGAGTATCCTTTGGCAGCTACACATCAAAAGTCTGAAGGCTTCCCCTTGAATAGGGCATCTTCTAGTTCTTTCTAGAAAAACTTACCAAAATCTGCCCCTTAAAAGTCATCATCTCCAGCTGTCATTAATGGGACTGCTGGAATTCCGGAGCTAGGCACTGTCCCCCTTTAGTCTTCAGTGAAATAGTTTCCTTCAGGAAAAAAATGGTGGAGTCCTATGTGCTTACATGGAGTACTTATCCAGTATAATGCCAAATTAAAATCAATTTGAAGTCTGTAACTGAAAGAAGGGCTTTCATATATACTCACTCAATGCTTACTTCTGAAACAACACAAACGTTCATGTTTATTGTTACCTCTCAAGTACATTCAGCCACTTCTTAATTGCAGAACTGCATATACACACAAATACATGCGTGTAAATTACACATCTGAAGGCTGTGATGTTCATATCCGAGATGATTAGAGCAATGTTTTTTTATTTCTCTCTCTTTTTTTTTTTTTTTTTTTTCCTCTCTCTCTCTCTTCAGGATAGTAACTGAAACAAAACCCAAGAATGAGGCAATACTGACCTCTATCAATGATATGTTTTAGAGCACTTGAGTTTTAGTTGGTTTTGGAAGAACTGATAGCAGAGATTCGAACCAAAGATAAAACACAGCAGACTGAAAAGCACCAGCTTCTGTAGAGTTTAAAACAGGGAGAAGAGCAGCGGCCCTGCTTTGGTCTGTGGTCATAACCACCATGGCAGGACTTGAACACAGAGACTGTTAGAGCTTGTACTTGACATAACTAGTTTCTGTTTAATCTAAGAAAAAAAGCATAATTGCAGCAGCCCCAAACAGCAGCAGCAGCAGCAGCAGCAGCAGCAGCAGCCAGCAGTGACATTCCACCCTGTACAAACAGTAGCCTTACAGAGCACTCACTTTCCCAGGAAGTCCCACACAAACCCCCCTACGTGTTGCGGTGCGGGGACCGACACCTGGTAGGGAGGGTGCAATTTGCGGGAGGCGTGCTTTCTGAGAAAAGGCATAGTCAAAAAAAAAACCCCGCACGTCCAAAACAAAACAACTCATGGAACCGCGACGTGACAGTGAGAACGGAAAGAAAAAGTGAGGAAGGAAAAAAAAAAAGACACAAAATGAAAAGGTACGGAGAAACGGGGGACTATGGAATGGCAATAAAAAAGCAAACAGTTAATTAGAAAGAAAGTGAATAACCAGACAGCTACAAAACCTTTACGCCACCACAAGTGGGACGAAACCAAAACTTTTAGGACTGTTCACCCATAGAAGAAATGGGAATTTATGGCCCACCTCCCCATAAAAAAAAGCAAAATCCTGACCACAGAGAGTATAAATGAACGAACTTGTGCTCTAAATATGATGTTGACTCAAGAATATTTTTCAAACTTTTGCACAGCATGCACCAAATTTAATACATTATTTTTGGAAATCTTTCCTCCCACTCACAGCTGAAAAACAATATCTCCCACCCACTAAACAGCGAAAGAGCAAAGCATTTCTCTCTCTTTTTTTTTTTAATCTAAACCAAAGGCAGATTGAAAAGGTTTACAACCAGTTTTATGCTGTCCTTCCCATTTTCCTCTCCTCCTATCTTTTCTCCTTCTGTTTCACTGTACATAATTCCTAATAGGTGACTCATTACTACTCTTCCATGGACAAAACCATGTTACTATTTCTCCTAACCTCCTGGTCTAGTTCTCACATACAAATAGCATGAAGATAAACTCCAGAGAAACACTCTCATTTGAAAATTTTCATTTTCATTAGTACAGTTTTTCTCTGAATGTGACTTATACTTTCTTATTTTGCTTTACATGGTAAAATAACAGACCTTAACAGACACATTATTTTTAGCTTCCTGACAAATGCTTCTGCAAGCATTTAGGTTTAGGTTCTTTTTCACACAGAAGAGTTTGAACGGCTGTAGAAGCACTAGAAGTCAAGATGATTTCTAGCTCAGTCTGCATAAACCACAGTTTAGGAAGAGTTCTTAAAAGGCAATGTTACCTATTTTTTTCAAGAAACCAAGACTGTAGCTATAGAACAGGCCTGAATGCATCTGGGTGTCATGAAAGAACACTTTATAAACAATTAAGATAAAAAAATCAGGTCCAACTTTTGGATTTAATAGGTATATTAAAACCTCTGCTTTGCGTGAAAACTGAGAAGGAGAAAGTAAGCTTTCTGAGAGCAGCAGTGTGTGAGAGCAGCTAAAGAGAACTACAGCCAAGTAGAACGTTCAGTAATTATTCAGAAAATGAGAAATCATTCCAAAGTATCTGAGATCTTGAATCATTTTTCTGGTATTAAGATCATACTGCACTTTCACCTGAAAAATAATATCAGGTATTGCTACTTTGCCACACTATGCACTTTTGGTCTCTCGATCTGACGACGTCTTCCATTCCCTCTTCTAGAGGTTAAAGAACATGATTATTCTCAGATTTTTTTCTATTATTACTTACTTGACTGCAATAAATCACACAATAACAAAAGTAGTCTCCTCTTCGACATACCTTTAAGACCTATCTGAATTACTAGAAACAAAGTTAATATTCTATTCTATCTCAGCACTGGTAGAAAAGAAAATGAGCTAAAAAAGAGAAGAGGGACACTCATGCTACTTTTTTTTTTTTTTTTTAATAAGAGCAAAGATCATTTGGTTAGAAGGAATGGGTAGAACTGAATAGTGAAAGCATTCCATCAAGTTCCTATCAAATTCATATCAAATTCCATCAATCCTGGGTGGCAGTGATTTTTATCTTTAAATGAGAAAAAAGTCCATTTTGGTTTCTCTTCATTTTTTATCACTGCATTGTGAACTATAGAAAACATTATCTCTTTTTATTATAGGCCATTTATACATGTTTACTCAGTGTTAAACACTGCAAGCCCCAATCTCAACTGGAATTTCTGAATGCTAATGTAATTTTAAAAATTCATACACATTAAAAATGTGTACAAGAAAATTCTCTTCCTGCCATTCCATTCTCATGAATGATTAATATCAATATTAACTTACTTTTTCTAGACAGTAATCTCTTCATAAGGCACTAAGGACACATTCATTTTATTAGAAGTTTGCTGGCTCAACCTCTTAGTTGCTTTGTCCTAATATGATAAGGTGAACTCCATATTTAAGATGAGTATCTGCAAAGGCCTGCAGAGTGCTGCAGAAAAATAAGACTTGGAGACACTATTTAGCTTTCTTCCAGTCTGTATTTAATGCATCTTCTCTATCAATCTATTGTCTGAATGATCTGCTGAGTACATGCTGTATGGTATGCAATGAAAGTTGCACTGCTCAGAAAAAAGGTAAGATTGCTAGAGAGGCCATTATGTTCATATTTGGTTGGCTTATACCGCAGCTGTAGAGAAGTTTGTTTAAACAAAATAACAACTGAAAACTAAAAGGATGCTGCTTACAACCACATAAAGAGAAAAAAAATTTAGCTGATAAGTTGAACTGCTCTGTCACTTTGAAGAAAACCATAATTCATTCTACCAAAAAATACAGATGAGTAAAGCCATTCAGTACAGTATTTTCATCACAGCACAAGCTATTTCTATGAGGTTAGTCATCAAATCCAAAGTCTTTTTTTCCAGAGGATTTGTCATTGAGATCTTCTTGCAGATGATGCAGGAAGAAAAATGAAGAAGTGCAGCAGATGCTGCTGAAAATAAAAGATGTATTTGGACCTCCTTGATTCTTTCTCTGAACACAGTGAAAACAAAATCAGATGTCTAAAAATAGACTTTCTGTAATCACAACTTAGAAAACAATTTTCAAAATAATCCAGAGGAATTCACTAAGTCAGTGAACAATCACCAGTGCCATAATAAAGAATCTGAAATGCCCTCAACTCAGTTCCCCTCATCTCTTTGATACTAAATGCAGAGTAGTTAAACAGAAATAGAATAAAAAAAGTGAGAAAGCCTATACTAGCACAAGACAAATGGGAATAATTAAACTATTCTATGTTACTTTTCTAAATTATTCTTTATCACGAACACTAAACAAACAAATGAAAATACAGATATTTTTGCTCAGAAACTCCTTCTTTGACCACAGTGAAGAGGCAGACAACAGAATCTATTTCAGGTCTTTCCCAAGATGAGTAATTTTGGATTGTGATACAAATGTTGTGGAATTGTCAGAGACTACCATTCTTGTCTGGGACACTGAAGTCTAGAAAAATATCCAAACACCCTGGATCCAACAGAAAGATGGAAAATGTAGAATCACACCTGGTTTGGAGAAAAGCAAATCTATCAATTCAGCCTCACATTAGATAAAGCTTACCAGTGTCTACACCACTACAAAGAATTTCAGTGTTATTTATCAGAAGTAACTGAGTAACTAGTACCAAAAGTTCCTAAAAGTCATTTTTTGGTGTTCGATTTTTTAGGGATAACCAAACCTGAGGTATTTACTAAACAAAAACAACAAACTGTTGTCTGAATAAAATACAGTGTTGGCAAATTTTCCTACCACCTCCATCCCCTTACAGCTCAAACCTGCAAATTCTGTCTGTATCAGCTCTGCTTTTCAGCAGGTAAAGAAAGCAGGTAAAGACAGTAAGACACTTTCTTGCTTACATTCTATTAAAACTAAGTTCTGAAGCAGAAAACCACAGAACAAGCTTTCCCAAAATAGACATAGCAAGGTTTCCAAGATAAGAAAAATGGAATGTCATCACTAACTTTAGGAAGCACTTTTCTAACTCCAGTGACTTTATATCACCCTTACCTCTCCAGTTCTGCAATTTTCTTATCTTTATCATTCTTCTCATTTTCCATCTCCTTCAAGATTTCCAGAAGACGATCCACTTCAGCTTGAGCCTTACTTGACTCTTCCCGAAACCTCGTTACCTCCCGCTCCAGCTGCTGCATGCGATCACTCAGCTCTGGGCTGGCCCTTGCCTCAAGAGTTGCCTCATGAGCCTGTAAGAAAAAGGGCCAGGAAAGACGCTTCACTCACACACAGATACTTTATGGATACTATGATGAATGCAAAACTACATTTACAACAAAATAGCAATATTAATTATTAAATAGAAATGAACATACTGTGCGTATGATACTTCTAATTATGGGAAAATACTTTCTAGGGAGAGGAAAATACATTAAGTGATACAAAAATCCACTCAGTCTAAAAAACAAAAATTAAGAAGCACAACTGACAAGAGAAGTAAAAATATGAAAAAAAGTTAAATCTCTTTAAAAGAAGGACAAAGAAAAGCAAAAGTGTGCATGAAAATTCCTAAAAATCACTTCTAATGCAGTGGTTTAACACTAGAACTAGTTACCTGACATTTTCAACAAGGACAATCCTGAAAACTAAATCATATGTTAATAGCCTTCAACAATTAGATCAGTATATGCAGTGTCAGATGGGTCCAAACAGGCAGGACTTCTCACTGATGTCCTTGCTACTTATTTCAGGTACACAGACTGGGACTAATACGAATGTGACACCAGACTGAGATTATCTGTGACTAGTCAATTAGGAAATCTCTTTTAAAATCAGGCTACAGGGACAAGAAGCATCAGATTAAATAACTCCAGCAAATATGTTTCCATTTGATTTATTCTCTTTAAATGGCCTGGTCTGTTGTAAAATTTCCTCATTTATCAGTAAAATGAATTCAATGGTTCCCACACATAGCAAAGACAAAGAAAAGGCAGTATTTATGCTCAAGTTTAAACCAGCAGAATGGGGACTGTATTTTCAGGGTCCAAACGGTAGTTATCAGCTTGCATCAGGAGAGATGGGCAAACCTTCCCTTCATAAGACATTTCTCCCTTTTCCCTCTGACCATAGAAGTTGAATTTGCTATCAATTAATGCTATTTCAGAACCATTCAAATTTGTTTCAGTGAATAGCAGGTCTGGTGCAATTCTGGATTCTGCCAATCAAGTTTCTGCCTGTGGAATCAAGGTCTTTCTCTTCTCTGGAACAAACCTGCAAGAGAACATAACACTTTTCCTTCTTTCACCCTCTGTGCATTTGTGCTTTTTTATGAGCTGCCAACAGTGTTCCTAAGCACAGTAAGACTAAGTCTGATAGTATAGAACTCTGTTACTTCTAAAGGTAATTGGACAGAAGTGCAGCAGCATAAGCCGCTGGGTTAGAAACTGGTGCTTCTGAAGAATCATCCAAAGGCAAAGGCACTTGGAGAAAACAATTCAGTTATTTGGCAAAATAAGACTGGAGGAAACATACCCCAACATTTTTTACATTGGAATCTCCTGTTTTTTTATTAACTCTGTTAAATCCAAGGTCCTGTTCTAGTGAACTTCTATAGAGTCTCAGAGCAGAGTGTTCTAGGACTAAAGGATGCCTAGACGCCTTTCTTTACTGGGACTATGACAGGGACACAGATCTGGATTGACCAAATACTGGAACATGTTATGTTCCAGAGCCTCAGCCCTGCAGCAGCCTGCCTGAGGGTCTATGCTACACAGTTTTAGTACTGTTCTATTTGAAGCAGAATTTCAAAGAGCTAGATAAACTGGACAGTACTTTATCCTGAAAGAAGATGTCTGACACTCTCTAGGTCTTCTGGGCAGGTCTCTCTGCAGGAGTGTCCAACAACCACAGGTCTCAGCAGAGCAGAGCCCTTTCTGGAGGCTATGTGTTTAAGTTCCCCACTTCTGAGAGATTTTCATGTCAAAACTTCCCCAGAACCTCTGCTGTTGAGCTGTAAGTCTGAAAATCCTGCTTCTGAGCTGCCGACCCAGCTCCAGCTCCAAGCACATCTCTGGTGAGCTGGAGAACTTAAGAAACCTTTTGGTGTTAGGACCACCTATGGTTCTATGCCAAATAAACACTTTGAACTAAAGAGCCTATTCCAAGGGTTGAAAAGGAAAGTGGAAGTCAAAATAACGTTGCCAACACAATGTAGATGCTGGGAGAAACTTCTAGCAATGAGACAGACAACTGCATCAGTTTCACTGAGCAGACACAGGCATCAGGGAACGTATTTTGTTTTTGAGACAGCAACACTGGGTGTTCCTGAAATGCCTTATCACAATTTCCAGCCTGTAGGAAATCTGAAATATTTGATTTTATTTCCTTTTCAACCATATCTAAATTTCAAACAAAACCTCCATCCTTCCCTCCCACTTGCTGTTTTGCAGCAACTGGAAATATTATTTTCCAGGGGCATCTATAAATGAATTGGAGGTATCTGTTTTCTCCTAAGAGACAGAATGTATACAGTCTGTTTTTTCACCAGACACACTGGTCTGAATTTTTTTGTACTAGATTTGGGTATGTTTCCAACATCTGAAATTGTTTGTTTTAACAAGTACTCCTCCAGGCCCTTCAATGTCATCCAAAATATATAATCAGATAGTCAAGACACTATTTCTATAATACAAAAGCAAAGCTAGGCTGTTTGCCTGGATTACTGAGTTCTCTAATTCCAAGTAAGTTACAAGACCTAATGTAATTCCACAGCCAGGACTTTATTTATATTACTCTGTGCTAATAAAAGCATCTCCACAACAACCCAAGAGACACCACTGAGAAGAAGAAATCAATTTTATTCTTTAAGAAAATTAGCCAACAACTCAGTGGGCCTGGTTCTTATAGAATGAAAGAGCTATTTACACAACATAAATTATTAGTTAAGACATGTAACACATGTTATTTGTATATAATGCACATAATTATGGATACTTTCACCTAACACAAAAAGAACGTTATATGATACGGTGTAAACTGGAGACCACTTCCTGAGTTACTGACTGAGTGACTTTGGTCTATTTTGTGGGTTATGTACAAAATATGTGTTACGTGATCATATCTAAAATCCTACTGGATTCACTTATTGTATGGGAGAGAAAACCGATGCATTTAGAGGTTTCCCACAAACTCACATCAAGATCTGGAACAGATGATATTGGCAACCTTCCCAATGTAACATTGTGCAAAATAATTCAGCAGTATATTAAGAAAAAAAAAAAAAAAAAAAAAAAAAAATTTAAAAAAAAAAAAAAAAAAAGGTTGAACACAAATAATGAATTCTTATATTCATAGTAAAATACAAACAAATAAACAAACAAAAACCTCATAAAACTTTCCCTGCCCACCACAGGTACAAAAATTCCAAAAGAAGCCATTTTGAAATCAGAATGGATGTATAAAATGGCAAATGAACTCAGACATTCTGCTGGATTAAGCGACCATAGAAAGTACATTTCAGTTGGTTCTGCTTTCAGGTCTGATTGAGACTTACTCCTAAATCTGCAAATTTTAATATAATTACAAGCAAGTATGAAAATGTATAAATGTATGATAAAAATAATTAAATAAATTGAAAAAGCAACTTGCCAGGGTGAAGGGAACCTTGCATTTCCACCTCTGACAAGTGATGTATGTAGCAGTAGAGATGTGCCTATACAGGCCAGAGAGCTCACTGATTACAGGTGATTTTACATGCTCTGTTAAGCCTCTAAACTGTTACTAGTACTAATGATCTTGTCATTAGCTCCTCACCTCTACTTCAGTATGGAGTCAAATAGATGAATTCAAGTTACTTTCAAGAGTGTTTTCAACTTTCCCATTTTATTCCACATTGATCTGCGTGAGAAACCCACGCTCATACTTCAGCCAGTAAGTAGCACCTTTTTAAGCTATGTTTTGATTAACTCATCTGAGCAGTTTTCATCTCCTCAAATTCAATGTAGTTCAGGACTGAGAATAGTTAAATTTAACACTGGATTAGCTCTCAAACTTCTTAAGAGTGACTATAAATTAAGAGTAGGTTTAACAGCTTTCTGCTTTTCTGCTCCTGGCCATCATTCCCCATCTGGAATGTAAGTGATGGGGTGAGCACTTCAGGTACCTACAGAATAAAAGAAAGAGCGATTGTTCCTCAAATAAATGTACTATAGCTCCTATTGCTTCCACAGAAAACCAGCTGACAAAGCTAACTTCTACAACTCTAGCAAAGATGAACAACATTGCGCAGAAATAAGCACTATTTACAGATGGAGAGGAAGGCCAAACACATTGAAAAGAATTCTGTAAGCTAGTATTTCTCATGCCAAAAATCTCTTAATAAAGAGGCAAGGTGATCTTACACAGCTTAAAGTATGTCAGAGGCAGAGAAGAAAACAACAGCTCAGATCTAATTTAAAAGTTCTAAAATGTAAATAAAAATTCCAAACACTATGACTAAGATTCAAAATCAATATTCCTAAAAGGTTAACTAAATCAAACAGCAAATAATTCACAGCAAACACTTTCTACTTTTACCTATGAATAGAGACAGTAAATTCAGTTTAACATTTCACATACAAATGTTGCCAAGAACCTCTGGTCAGAAAGTAGAAGTTCCCGAGAATATGAGATTGCTTTTTAATCCACCCTCCTACCTCCAAGTGTACCTCACATCTCCTATAAACAGCAAATGTACATACCAATTCAAAAATACATCATTACAATTTATTGCAAAAGACAAACATGTATAACTACTTTATTTTTTCCTGTTGGGAAGGCAGCCTTTCCAATGATAAAACATTTGTACTGCCTTCTATTATGTTATATTAGTTTCAACAAAATTATCTATTTTGAAAACAAGCAGACTTAGTCCTCCTTTAGCTCCAGGGCTCTAAACAACATGTATCCAATGCTCTAAAAAGTCACGTATCATGACAGTTTTTGAAGAGTTGTGCAAGAAGTTAAAGGCTCAGTGAGCCCTCTGATACACTGTGTACCAGAAAAACTTGAGTCTGTCACAAGGAGCTGCTTGTTATCTTAATATTAACAAAATCTTTAAAAATCCCTTCCAGGAAATATATGATCTTAGTTAATGGCACTGTAAATTTCTGACACTGAATAAGCAAGTATTTGGTTGGAATCATTTAATAAAGAAGGCTGGAAGTCTAAATGAGAGGAAGATCTCTCAAGAGAATCAATTACTCAAAATAAT